TTTATAGAATTACTAGCTGACCGGCAAATCGTTTTTGCCATATACATTATTTCAATTTTTTTCGTCAAAAAAAATAGGCGTATGAAAAATAGATGTTGGCTGACTCTCAGACCTACCCGATATGCACACAAAATCTCACGAAAATCGGTCGAGCCGTTTCAGAGGAGTTCTACCACGCACAGCTGTGACACGAGAATTTTATATATCAGATGGCAATAGAAACGGACAGAGAGATACTGTTTGAAATCAGAATTCAAAGTCCTAGTTTACATGTCATGATGGATTATTCTGTGTTAAAACATTGTTTTTAATTGCTGTAGCTTGTAGTAGATAAATTATCTGTAATACGGAGTTTGTTTAACATTATTCTTTTCTTTAGTTAAAGAGGCACCATTTAATACTTGTTGAATTGTTGAATGTTTATTCTTTAATAAATTTCCTCGAAAAGGTTAATTAACACGTAATTATCTTTTCTTTCTAATATTTCACGTGTTTCATATTCTCAAACCTCTATTTCTGATTGGTGCATTAGTGTACTTCTTTCGGTCTCCAATACGTAAATATGGAGTACCGCAAAGAACCAGAGAAAGTATGTCGTCTCTCCTAGATCGCTAAACCGGGGAGGAAGTAAATAATTCGATGTAAGTAAAGTGAAAATTGTAAACTTTTGTAATCTAAAGCTATGGCAATATAAAATAGACCAATTCATCTGGAATAAAGATTTTACATTCTCTCATTTTTTTAAATACTATCATATAGTTTCTTGAAGAAACTAACGCACGAAGATTATTATCTCGTATACAACCTTCGTGAAATATACCTCCTTCTTTCTATTGAAAACAATTGAAAACAACGTCTAAAATACAAGTAGGTATATGCCATACGCTCAGGCATTTATCCCGTTTGATAAAGCATTGTGATAAAGGTTTCAATTAATCGTGCTTCCCGAAGTAAGTATTCAATTCATAAAACAATAATTACTGGAAGTGCTCAATTACTCAGAATTCTATATTTATATTTAAAATAATGCAAGTTTGCCAAAAACAGGTACTCTTATACTTAATTAATTCATTCGGGAATCACAACTTAGCCAAGAAAACAACTATCTGTGTTCATGAAATAATGGTATTTGTGTACGTTTAAATGCAACATAAAAATACTTGATGAATTATTTAATACTAACATCCGAATCATCATCGAGCAAAGACTCCGCTTGTTCTATTTTTGGACAGTCGAACCAAGGCATCTAAAAAGAAGACCATAATTAGATGCTAGTTTTTGTACAAATATTGAAATAATAGATAATGGAGACAAACAGGAAAACTGTTAGGCCCGTATTTTAAAAGGTGTCTCAGTCGTGAATCTAGTCTTAAAACTAATTTTTAAAAACATCAGTTTGACATTTCACATGACAAGTGTTGATAAACAAATTGAACGTTCCGTTATAGCCTATTTATACAGCTAGTCATTTTAATTTTAATATTTATTATACTTAATTTTGAACGAACAACAAGCTTGTTAATATGTAACATTGCTACACTAGGCAAATAGTATATTATATACAAATTCACAGAAATTAGTTTTGTAAAAGAAATTATTTTTTAATAATTAGCTGCGTAATGTGGAAAAAATAGTGTCAATCATGCGGAAACGTAATTGAGAACAGACTGTGAGTTCAAATCAATACTTGAAACTAGTTTTCAACTGAGTAAAACTTAAAACGCGTTCTATAATAAGATCGATACTTAAGATTTTGATCTGCACACTTAAAACTAGTTCAGGCAATCAGAGTTCAACACGACACTTGAGACGTCTTTTTAAAATACGGGCCTTAGTCCATTATATATGATTGTTTGGTAAAATTCTTTAAAATCTCACTGATATACTAACTTTTTCATATGAGAGGGCGGGGGAGCCCATATCTAACTCAAAGGGCAGGTAGTCGTAATCGGAATCATATCCCAAGTAATCGTCTCTGGAGTCCAAGTTCTTTACGTCTAACATTATCTACAACACAAGAAAAAATACATTCGAAATTAAATATTGAAGGAAATGCCATATGTTAAAACTGGGGCTAGAGAAATAGTTTCATAATTACATAATTCATAATTATATAATCCAGATAAATTAATTTAAATTGTTGATCTATTTTTTTTTAAATATATTATCTCTTAATTTAAGGGCCAGGCCTTTGTCGGTGGAGCAATCGCTATACCTCCCTATTTTCTGCGATCTGTTTGACCTCTTGATCGGCCATCCCACTTTCTATTTACTTGCTGTGTGTACGTTGAACTAGGTCTTCTTCGTTTTCTTTTACTTTCTACTATTCTTCCAGTAATGTTTTAAAGAAGTTGTCGTGTCTCATCAAGTGGCCAACCATTTTGCCTCTTCTTAGCATTTAATGATTCTTTCTCTTCATTTACCATTAGTAGGAGTTCTTCGTTGATTCTTTTCTTTATGCAACTGATGTGAATCATCCGCCTCCAGCTTCAGATTTCAAATGCTGCCAACCTGTATCTGTCTCTTTGGGTCAGCAGCCATACTTTGGGTGTTAATCTTGGCCTTGTACAGGTGTTCTTGTTTGACGATTGCGAGTCTGTCTACATCTTGAATCCCGCGTTTTTCCGCTACCTGAATATTTAAAAAAAATGTTGCCTGTTCCATGTGAATATTGTTGATGTTAATATGGCTGGTTATATATGAAAATTTTGGAGGTAATCAGAATTTTAGTTTTATTTAAATTTATATTTTGATCGTTAAACGTGTCGTTCATTACTGTTAGAAGTTGTTCTAAGTTGTTTGTACTGTCAGGTATTGCTGCAATATCATCTGCAAATCTGATAAAATGTGGAGTTGCCCTATTGAATTTGATCCCTCCTTTAACTGATTCTACTAGCTTTTTTTCTTATAGCATATTCAATAAAAATGTTAAAATTTTGAATATTGACAGAGATCGCCCCTGTTTTACTCCCTGCTTAATAGTTGCTAATTTTTTTTCTTCTCCTGCTTCTATTATTGTTTGCTGGATGTTATATAGTTGATGAATTTTTCTCCTGTCTCTGCCCTGCCCCATTCAAATGTCTAGCATTTTTGTCCATTCGCATCGAATAGGCTATAAATGTTGGTAAGCTTAAATCGACACGTCCTGTCTATAATATCTTCTCTTGTGCCTTTATTTTATCGAAAACCATCAGGCCCTAAGTAGTTCTCTATATGTGGTCTTATTCTATTTTGTACTATTTTAGTGGTATTTTCTATGCTAGAGAAATGAAGCTAAGGATTTGATGTTTTTAATATTTAAAGATGTTTTCTTTTTTCCACGGCAACGGTTCCTATTTCGTATATTTTATCGAACAGAGCAGTAGATCTCGTCTGACAGTGGATCTTACACTATACGTATTTTATAATTCTATGTATAAGAGGTCACCCCCCGGAGCTTTTTCATTTTGTATAGAGTTTAAAGAAGTAAGTTAAGAGCTTTAACAAATTCCTCCCTTAATTTTGCAGGACCTAATTTGTCTTCCATTACAAGTTCTTCTTTTTCTTTATCATATTCTTTCATGCCTTCTATGTGCCTTTGCCAACGTTCAGCTATCGCAGTATCCCTTTTATCTAAAGTACAGAACATCTGTGTGGTGACGGATTAAGAATACGGAATGGTCTCCACCCCTATTCATCCCGTGGTGTCGTAAGAGCCGACTAAGGGAACAATCTGCACAGGACAACAGCACTGCAAAAAGAAGGAAAACTTGAAAACAAACCCTATACCAACCCGTTTGGGCCAGCGTGGTATAGTAGGCTAAAACCTCCTTTCTAAGGAGAGGGCCTATGTCCAGCAGTGGACTATTTATAGGCTGTTGATGTTGATGATTGATGACAGAACATAGCTTCTTCTTCTGTAGTACTTCATCAACTCAAGTCTTTATAATATTCCTCAATCCTTGCCCACCTGGTCTCCATATTACAATGTTCAATTCTTTGAGGGTTTCTTTATAGTTTTTAAAACTGTATCCCAACTTATTACTATATTGCCCTTTAAAATTCTTATATTTAAGTTTATTGAAATATATATGTTTATTATATTTAAGTTTAGAGTCCACTAAAGTCCACTAACGAAGCAAACTACGCAGGCCAAAAGCACTGTAAAGAGAAGGAAAACTTGAAACAAACTCTATACTAACCCGTTCTGGTCAGCGTGGTATTTAGTAGGTAAAAAACCTCCTTTCTAAGGAGAGCCCTATGTCCAGCATGTGGACTATTGAAGGCTGTTGACGATGATGATGATGATACGCATATACAGTGCATATACAGTACATATATATACAGTGTCGTACAATTAACCTACACGATATCGATATTATCTAGTCGTGATACGTCGATAAAACAAACTTCAATTTTACTCAATAAAAGATACAAATGTTTTTTTACTCTTACCTGTTGAATGTTCTTTGAATAATCTGTTCCGGGATCACTCTGTGGTTTCGGATAAGTCAGGAGAGCCGTAGTGATACCATATTTTTTTTCATCAAAGTGATCCATTTTTGGTAGTGATGACGGTTTGAATTTATTTTCTGGCTTACGACGCTTGAGGCGGCGTACCTTCTTAGATTTTATTCTTGGAGGGGTTGTATTAGTTTCTTTCGAATTTCGTTACTTCGAAGTGCTGACGTTTATCGTTTATAGTCTGTTCTGTCCTGCACATAGATAAAATATATAATCAGGACAGTTTAGATCGAAAGTAGTAGCTTTCCAACTTTGGTTGGTTACATAATTATAATTATTAATTAATTAAAATATGTAAAATTATTTCTTCTAATAAGTCAAGATACTTTTACACGCTAAAAAAAAAAAAAGGCTGAGTTGTAATATTTTTACAATTTTAAATCAATTGAAGTGTGAGAGGCGGTATGTCCGATGATTTTAAACGTAAAACGGCATCAAGTTTTTAACGAAAAATCTAATTTTGATTAGAAAAAGCATATATGTGAAAAAAACATAATTTCAAAGGATCTCGTCTCTGCAGGCTTTTACCCTCATTCAAAACATTTGTGATTCCAACATTCGCGCATTGCCAACTTATATCTCAGTGTACTACGCGCACTGGCGACGGAGAACCCAGGAACTCAGATAAGCTCTACTGTACATAAATGTGGATTTGAGAGACTGCTATGGCACATCTGTCAGCATTAAAACTTTGAAGGACAAGCTCCTTTACCTGGTTTTTTAGTTTTACAAAAAAACGGACATTGACAGTCTCGAGACAAACAAATTGTTAAATTTTTTTTGTTGTGGTTTGCAAATGGAAATTCCTTTAAAAATAAATTTAAATTTTATCACCCCAACCCTTTAAGGATGTGATGAATAAAGTCTAAGACGATTAGAGGAATTAATATTAAGTAAACCCCAATATTTAGAAAATTGTTTTGGGGATATAAGTAAATGGGAATTTAAAAAAAAAAACCCTTTAAAAATTTTAAAACCTATCAGGATTTTTTCTGTCACGAAAACCCGTAAGAAAGAGCAACGGCTATGAGGTAAAAATAAAGATTGCTTTTGGCAACTATATTATTAAAAAAAAGTTTTTCCAAGCCAAAATTTATAGAATTTTTTAAAGAATAAAGAATCCGTCAACAAAAAAAGACCCCACTCTTAGAAGTCCATAATAGCAATTTAAAAACGAGCCGCTCCTACGCTAACATAACACGACGTTTATACCTAATGCAGAAAAACTCAAAGAAGTAATAGCTAAATGTGTTTTGCAAAAAAAATATATTTTGTACTTGATAATTGGTAGGTCCATTAGAAGGACTTAAAAGAAAGTGTGGGCATATTTGTGTAGTATAAAAATAACTAAATTATTAGAAAATATATACTAACATAATATACATTTTCGTCAATTGTTTTAAGTTCAAAAGCTTGAACGCCATGATCGTCATGCGTGATGACCGTGCGTCATGGTACACAATATTCATCACACCACTATATATTTAAACTATCTGCTACATAGTTATATATACTACGCCTTTATAAAAATTAGCAAAATATAGAAATGAGTTATATTAGAGTACTTATAGTAAAACTTTATGAAATTACTTGAATTTAGCTTAGGTATTTGCTATTTCTAATCTGTGCGTAAGTAAGCTTAGTATATTTAATATGAACTGCCAACTGAACCAAACAACATTTAAATAATTTTACTGTGTAAGTACTCGTTCAGCAACTATTATCCTAAACTTTGTTATGCTCAATTTAATTTTTTCTTTAGGAGCTTTCTTGTTGCATCTTTCATTTTAAAATTAGTCATGTATTCTACAAGTCTTGGCATAGTCTCGTTATATGTGTACCCTGTACAATATTATTCTAAAAACAATAGTGTTGAGTTATTTATAAAGTTCGGCATATTGTATTTATGAGGCAACCGTCGAGCACATTTAGTATATAGGCCTACGTCGCATGATAACGGAACCTTACTATAAGGATTGGCCAGTTGGACCTAATGATTGATAAAATTCAAAACGTTAAAAAAACATTTTCTTATGATGTCGCATTATCCATAATTTTAGGACACGCAAACCGTCAAATGTCACAAACCGTTGCAACGGTGCTATAGAAATATCGTTCTTTCTCTCTTTTAAAGTCTTTCATGCTCTAAAGAGTCGATTTTTGAATTGGCATGTAATGCTAGCGGTTACGTCGTTCGTGTCGTATGTCAAGCGAAGAGGAGGCGGAGAAATTCTAAAGGTGCGGGGAGGGAGTCTTTAGGCCCGCATACGTATAACAGTGTAGAACACAATGCGGCCAGCGCTCTGCGACGACGTGGGCCTGCGCGCCAGCGTACTAGCCGCACCCGTGGTCATAAATATACTTAACATAGAATCCGTCACTGGCAGAACATCACTTGACTGAACTGCAAGATACCGCCGTTCAATTCCGTGCGAGGTAAGTTACGCTGTGCGAAAAAACTTTTTATTTTTTCGCGATTATTTTTGCTGGCGAAAGATGATTTTTGGGTTAAAGTTTCTTGATAGAGTCTCTTTCTAGCCCACATTCTAGTGTTTTATTTCACAACTTTTCTGTAGTTTAAAACTTTATTTATGCACTTCAAAACTTTTTCACAAGTTAGTCATTAGGCTTTCGATACGAAATTGAAACTTGAATTTGATTCAGGTGACTGATCAAAATACATTCTAAGTGCAACGTTCTAATTACTACAGTTTTAGGTTCATATTGGCATTTATTAATGTGAACATTATTAGTCTAGCAAGTGGAATGTGTCTGTGTGTTCGATCATTTACTTGTGACACGTGTGTCGAATACGCGACTACGAGCCTTATCACGTTGTTCAGTGTATCGATATTTCTTTATCAGCATTAACTGATACATACAGTTTTTAAACACTGACGTAAACTATTAGTCTCTTTAGTTTAGACGTTATAATTATCTACCTAAAATCAAATTGATGATTATGTAGTCTTAATCTACATGTTTTAATTTTATCTTTATTTTTATATATTTTTACAAAGCTTATGTTTTGTTAAATACCAAATTCCACCACCAGTACGTATGATTACTACTAGCTATTACGACTTAAATGGATCAACGTACGATGTGACCTATCGTAAGTAAATTTATTTCCGGTAAGTATCGATCAGGTTTTAGTAAACATTGCAACACAAACCATCGGAGAACTTGACAGTATTAATTTAAAAGTTACTAACTGAATGGTTTGGCAGTTTCTCGTATCATTTACGCAATGAATACCTATTTTATTTAATCTATGAAGATACTTATCTGCTCGAGAAAGAAGCATGAGACATTCCAAAGCACGGGATTCGGCTTATACAAATTGTTTGGCTGAGTTAGTCATCCTCTTTTATACTTAGGAATGACAACGTCTCATTTACTGGTAGTAACAAACCAAAAGTTCAAAAGTATAAAGTTGAAACACTGAAGTTTGGGAGTAGCAAAGTTACCCGTACTTGTACAAAGTTAGGTTGTATCATATACTTGTAACACAAACTAAGTCGTAAGTTAAAGATAAACATGTCTGGCCCAATTTTCAATGTAGATCAGTTCAGAATGTTTTTGTTATCATACCGACAGGGATCAATTGTCATCAAAATTTAAATTAATTAGATGATTTACCTACTAAATATTGACTTGGTTGGAATGTACTAATAAATAGTCAAGAGCATCCAATCTACATTTATCTATATAGGGACTAGTAATAAGGCTGCAGCGTTCGTTTTTCTGGTTAATGTATCTCTTTTTTTTTCTAAAGACTACTTTCGCACTAGGAAGTAGCAATCATGTGTCGTGGGAGATTTTACAAAGTATTCATAAAACGGACACAAAAGAAACACGCAGACTCAGAATAACAATATGTGGATCACACAACGTGTTGCCTTATATGGGGATCTAACCCAGAATACTCAGCGCGGTAGGAAGCGTCGAGGTGACTGTTTAAACCACTACGCCATCCGTGCAGTTAGGATTTTATTGTTGGTCCCAATTAATTTTAATTTCACGCCAAAGGCGAATTACTAAGAATCGGATACTTACAGCTTATAATTTGGCAATTTATTGAGTTTGTCTATCTTTGGTCAAAAGTCGTAGGGACTTAAATAGGTTGGGTTAGTAGAGTTAAAACCTCCTTTCTAAGGAGAGGCATATGTCCAGCGGTGGGCTATTAAGGGCTGTTGATGAAGTAGAGTTATAGTAGGTATTTGCAGGCGTAATTAACACTAAACTATCAGTAAATAACGAATGAATCAACTATTTTACTTTGGCAAAACCATTCGTGTATAGTAAAGCAAATAATGCAAATGGCTGTATATTTTATTAGTTTACACAAGTTTTAAAGGGCTTTATTGACTGAAGAGTAAATACTCTTAGTGATCTAGTAATCTGAATAACAATTGGGTTAAAACATTGTGGAGCGAAGCATTAAGACATGCCTTCAGTTACAATGTCAATAAGAAAGGATTTATAATGTATTTTAGAATAATATTCATGAAAACTGGTAGTACGGTGTATGTACATATATTTAAAAATTTAGAATTGTAGAGATATAGGAGAGCTTGAGGAGGAATTAGGTTTAAAGCAAGGAAATTTTTGGGCAGGTTTTCATAAAAATTGGAGTACAGGGAAAAGTAAAATAGTTTATGCTATAGAATAAAAACGATAAACAACAAATTATTATATTATTTATTGGAATAGGACAGCGTCTGTAGAATCAGATAACATAAAATAATACATATAAAGCAGTGCAATGAAAGGTATAAGAACATTTATTATACTTAGTGGTAACAAAAACATAATATATCGAAAACATATTTTGGTTTTATTAAAGCTTGATAGAGTAGAGCAAACAGAGTTTAACTAACACAGGCCTGGGCTACTTATCTGTAATAACACTTTTGTTTATTGATTGCCAATTAAATTTGATTTGAGTTGTGTTTGTTTGCCCAGTGGTCAAAATATGACCACTCGGCAAACAAACACTTTAGTTACACACAAGAGAAATCATGGTTGAATTT